TGGCATGCTGCCCATGCCACGCCGAGACCCTGCCTGGCCCTTTGCAGGCAGTGCTGCCCAAAAATGCCAGCCATGAGCCCACGGTGAGTGAACAGCCCCTTCTTTAGCCTCATTTTTTTTCCATCTCTGTTTTTCAAGTGTTTGCCTAAAGCAGTCACCAGCAACAGCCCAGCGGTGGCGATTTGGGTGCAGATGTGCTTGGGGAGGAAGAGGGAGGTGACAGGGGACAAGTGCCAGCAGCAGAGCCCTGTCCTTACCTTGGGCTCCACGATCTTCCACCCGTTGGCCTTGAGCTGCTGGAGCTCCCCGAACTTCATGCTGACGTCCTCAATGGAGAGCTGCAGGAGGTCCCAGAAGCCGGCCAGGTCTTGGAAGGTGGGCACGGGGAATGCGTTTGGATCCTGTGGGCACAGAGGCATGGAGTGGCATCCCCACGGGACATCAGCTCTGCTGCCCAGCTCTCCCCCGTGGTGTTACAAAGTCCCTTTTCCCCCGGTACAAGCCTCCCCCCGGCCACCATGGCCAACCCCCCGGCCCCTCTGCCCAGCACTCACCATGTTCTGCTGGCAGAGGCGGTAAAACTGCTGCACCTTCTGGGACATGAGGAGCTGGGCACTGCCCACGGCGCTCCGGATCTTCTCCAGGACTGGTGGGGGGAAGAGCAGACAGTCAGTGCTCCCGCGGGGCACAGAGCCTGTCCCACAGGGACCTGCACCCCCTTGGGGGCAGCAGGACAGCTCAGGCATCTCAGACTCCCCCAACCCATGTGGCATCTCTTCCCTCCCCCAGACCCCACTAGTCCCAGAGGGTTTCCCAGTGTTTCTTGTCCCCCACCCACCCTCTTCAGCCTTGGCAGATGAGATGCTCCAAGGGGGGAGCACTGCAGGACCACGGCTGTGCCCCCCCCAGCTCTAGAGGAGCCCCAGTCCTTCCAGACCCTGTAAACCCTCCCCCCCCCAAACTCACTCTCCTCTGGCAGATCGTAGTCCTCAGCCTCCCTCTCCATCTGCTGGCACCAGCCCTCCATCTTCTCCACCTCGGCCTGCAGCAGTTTGATGAACCATTCCCCATCGCGGTGGCAGGGGGAGGCACGGCCGGAGTCGGGGAGGCTGCGGGAGCCCCGTTCCATCCAGGCATCCCGCCGGGGCACCTCCACCGTGTCGTACTGCAGCTGGTAGTCCTCCCGGTAGGCCCACTGCCCCTGCGTGTGCACCGTCTTGTAGACGGCGTACTGCCGCCCGGACTCGGGCTCCGAGGAGTGCCGCTGGAAGGGGCGCCCGAACTGCAGGGCCTTGTCCTCGGTGGCCACAGCCAGGCCGGTGAAGCCCTCCAGCTCCAGGTCCGCCTGCACGCCCGCCGTCACGCTGTTGGAGCGCTTGAAACGTGCCCGCCTGTGGAGAGCAAGAGCGCGTGGGGACCCTCACCACCAGCGAGGACAACCCCACTGCCCCGTGTGTCCCCCCCCTGTGGGTACCATGGCGGGCAGGGGGAGGGATGGGGCTGGGGATGCCGGTCTGGATCTTGGAGCATTCGGGGACGCGGGGACAGCCCTGAGCAGCCGCAACCCGCCGGTCCCTCATTCCCTCTGCTCTTAGCCCGTTTCCATGGCTACCGGCGCTGGACCGAGGATGGAGAGGAGCGTGCACCGGGGCTGCGTGGGCACATCGCCGGAGCTCCTCTCCCACAGGCCACGCAGGTCCCACCACACGGCGCTCCCACTCTGGCCAAAATGTCATGTTTAGCTGCAGAAACAGTTTCATCTGCGCCTGGGACGAGCTCAAAGTCCAGGGCTGAGGCGCAGTGGGGGAGTCCCCAGCACAGGGTGGGAGCAGGGGACCCCCTTCCCCAGACAGTCCATTTGCAGAGGGCAAAGGGAGGGGCCAGATCCTGCCCCAGGTGGGGGCATCCAGCCTGGGAAGGGGATGGTGCTGAGCTCCGGGGGCCTCAGCCAGAGGAGAGAGGGAAAAGATGCTGTGGGGCAGCTCAGGGAGCCCCAGGGGGTCCCAATCCCCCAGCGCAGTGAGCGTGGCAGGTCTCAGCCCAGCCTGACCGTGCAGTACCTTTTGTCCTCCTCCACCTGCACCCCGATGGAATGGAACTCCCTCTGGCTCCGGCTCTCCGTATCCGAGTCGGAGATGGCCTCAACCTGCCGAGGGGGCAGAGGGAGAGCGCTGGAAGGTGGCCCCGAGAGGTGGCACGGCAGCTCGGCATCGCCCACGCCGCTGGGGCAGGCTCGGAGCTGGCTCAGAGCCCACGGGGAGGAGCGAAGCCCACCTGGACGCCGATGGAGGGACGCCACTTGCGCTGCCGAGCCAAGCTCCTCAGCTCCTCCCGGCCGGGGATGGCCTTGATGATGAGTGTGGAGGGCTTGGGAGCAGCGCGGGGCTGGACCGGGGGCAGGTCGAGGGCCACGGCCGTCACCTTGGAGCTCTCCAAGCTCTCGGCCGAGTTGCAACGGGCCGCGGCGTCTTTGGACCAGGCGGGGCTGCGGGAGACCTCGCCGGGCAAGTAGCTGTCGTGGGTGGACTCGGTGCTGCTCTGCGCCGTGACGGAGATGAGGGGTTTGGCTTTGGTTCCTGGAGGGATGGGAGGTGGAGCTTTTCTGTAACTGAAGGCTGTTGTGGGAGAGGCGCAGGATGAAAAGGCGCGTGAAAACACAGACACTTGCTCATTTCCCGCCGCGAACGGGGGCCCCAGGGGGACGGGGGCTCGCACTGAGATCTGGGCTGGAGCTTAGGGGGGCTGTTTGGCTACTTCATCCCCAGAATGGGATCGGGAACCACCCCAGATCCATGCTGGCCACGCTGCATGCAGAGGTGGGCAAATAAAGTAGAGGGAAAGAAGTGGAGGGAAGGAGGGAATGGCAGATGGGTGCTGGGGGCACAGAGCAACCTCTGGCCAGGGCTGAGCCATGAGCAGGATGCTCTTGTCCGGTGCCAGGGGCAGGAGCAGGGGTGGCAGCAGCCCTTGGTGGGTGCCCGGGCAAGCGGGCAGGGAGATACGGGGGTCCCTCGCGCGGCTGAGCCCCCACCAACCACCCCCGGGGACTCACAGGTGCTGGGCTTCAGGATGCTGCTGGTGATGGGTGGCCCGGCGGGGGCCGACATGGAGAAGAGCGAGAGGCAGTCGTCATCCTGGGAGCAGCCCGCCTGGATGGCCCGCAGGTAGCTGTGGCTCCGCATGCGGAAGCAGCCGGGCAGGTCCAGCGCCTCCACCGCCTGCGACTCCACCTCGCCGAAAACCGACTCGCAGACGGCCTCAAACTGGTGGTTGAGCTCATCGTTGATCTGGGGAGAGCGGCGGGTGAGGCTGGGGGCCCAGAGATGGGGCCGAGCGGGGCAGGAGATGCTCAGAGAGGCATCTGGTGGCCCCTCGCCCACCCCGACCTGCCCCACGGCACCCGTGGCGTGGGACCCTACCTGGCCGGTGGTGAAGGAACGCCCGTAGCCCTGTCCCCGCGGGAGCATTCGCGGTGGCGTGCAGCAGCTGGGACAGTTACAGATATATGAATCAGAATAGTGCCTACTTGCAAACCTAATGAGAGACAGTGGGAATAGAAGGGATGGCACCAAAAGCAACACATTCAAGCAGAGCATTTGGAAACGCAGCCGCAGCAATGCTCCCGCTGGCCACCACGGCTCTTAACTGCCCCAAAACACTGTCCTGGGGGTACAGACCTGTCCCCCAGACGTGCAGGACCACCAGAGAGGGTTCTGTGACCACCACAGTAGGGCTAGGGATGAAGAGCCAGCCTGTCACCCACCAGGGCTGGGTCACATCCCAGTTTTCTCCTTTTTGGACATGCCTCTCCTCCCCAGCCTTTGCTCACAGCTGCAGCAGCGGGTCCCATCCCAAAGCCCAGCGCAGCCCCGTGCCCCCCCGGTGCCCACCAAGGGCATCTGTGGCTCCCGGAGACCCCCAGCCCCAAAGCCCCCGCTGCCACCCGCGGTGCCGAGCCAGGGCTGGGAGGTGACAGCCCTTACTTGGTCCTGGCCTGGTCGGCGCTGGAGGAGCGGCGGTAGCTGTCTCGCCGCGTGGCCGCCCTGGGCAACACTTTGGCGCTGGCGTCGGAGTCGGCGCTGTCCTCGTCGCCCATGGCCTTGATGTAGCTGCCGCTGCGCATCCTCCGGCAGGGGATCTCCCCGTCCTTGCCCACCGCCGGGTACCCGCTCCACTCGTCCTGCGGCACCTGGGGCAGGAGGGAAGCGTGGGAGGAGGCAGAGGCCGGGGGTCCCACGGCCAGGACGCAGAGCCGAGCCCTGCGCTTGCCACGTGGCACGTGCCAACCCGAGCCCGGTGCGGGTGCACGGCCCAAACCCAGCGTGCACGCAAGTCCCGAGCCTGGTGGGCACGTGCCAGCGTGGCTCCCCGGCCCCAAAACACGGGTCAGGGCAGCCGCTCCCACCTCGCAGCCCCCCCGGCAGGCACGGCTGGGCCAGATCCCACCCATGCCAGTGCGGCCACCCGGATGACGTGGCGGCTGCCGGTCCCACCACGCACCGCTGACGCTGGCACCACGGGGTCCTTACCGGGCTGTGGCAGTGGGACGGCGTCCCCCACGCCCCGTGGGGAGGGTGTCGGGGCTGTCACCCTGTCCCAGTGCCCCCACTGCTGGCACAGAGGGGCCCCGGCCACCCCTCGCCCCCGGCCAGTACGGCATGTCAGCTCACTGTCTCCTTCCCCCGGGAAAGGGAGAGAAGAGTTAATTAGTTTTTAATTGGAAGGGAGGGTGACCTAGAAGGGAGCCCGGTGACGAGGCAGGCTGTGGCACCCGGCCAGGCACAAGCGGGATAAAAGCCATGAGGAGGGAGCGGGCACAGGGCCACCAGCGTCCCCGAGCCAACAGAGCCGGTCTGACCCCAAACCCAGCGGCCACGGGGGCAGGAGGTGGCGATTGGGACTTCGCACTGGTGAGGGGACAGTGGGACCACCAGGTGCTGGGGACACGGAGAGGAGCTGGAGCATCCCCGCGCCACCCCGGGCTGCCAGGATGGAGGGTCCCAGCCCCGGCTCGCCCCACGGCATCGTTGGCTGCAGTCCCCGAGGTGGCAGCCCCCGGCGCTGCCTGGCCCCTCACCTGCAGGTACTGGTATGCTCGGTCTTTGGCCTTTGCCTCCTGAAGCATCAAGGTCTTCTCGGTGCCGCCGGCGCTGGGGTAGGCTTCACGAGCCTGGCTGACGGTCATGGTGTGCCAGGCGCTCCTCTTGAGCGTCTGGCCATCCAGAGACATGGACATGCCGGCACAGGCCAGGCATTTTCCTTCCCCGCCGCCCTTTAGACTCTTCAAGGTCAAGTCTCTGAAGGCACTTTCGGGAGCGTCCACGCAGTACTGGGTGGCCTGGTCGGCGGCGTGCCGGCCGGACACCATGTAGCTGCTGTCGCTGTCCAGGTTGTCGTCGGAGCTCCACCAGCCCATCATCTTGGACCGGTGCCGGGAGTCCACCTTGCGGTCCTTGCTCTTGCTGCGCTTGCCGTGGCGGGACTGGTGGTGGTGGTGGTGGTGATGGTGGTGGTGGTGGTGGTGGTAGCCGTCCCCGCGGCCGTCCATCTTGGTGCCGTTGTAGTCCCGCTTGGCCGGCGCCTCCAGGGAGTGGGACTTGGCGAAGAGCTTCTGGACGGAGTGGACGAGGTGGCGGATGCGGCTGGGGCTCTCGCTGCGGGGCTCGGCGCCGCCGGCCCGCGGGTACTGCAGCGTGTGGAAGCCGTCGTGGTGCAGCGGCAGCTGCTTCTCGAACTGGTCCAGCAGCGTGGGGGGCAGGCGGTTGATCTTGCTGGCGGGGTGGGCGGTCGCCATGCATTCGTCGCAGGAGTCGTAGGGCTGCTGCTGCGCGTGGTGCATCCTCGGGAAGGTGCTGCTGGCGCTGGCGGAGGGCGGCTCGCTCAGGGGCCCGCCCGGGCACTCGCTGGCCGCGCCGGGGCTCCGCGCCGGGCAGTAGGGATGCTCCAGGGAACAGGGCTCGCTGGGGCTGAGGAGGTACGGCGGCCGGCCCTCGGGGCCGTGCGGGACGTAGTTGGCGGGATGCTGGCAGTCCTCTGGGATGCAGCGGCAGCGGTGGCCGGAGGAGGGCTGTGCCTGGCTACGCTCCCCATGGTAGCCCTTCATGGTGTCAGCACCCGCCCCGTAGCCTCGGCATCCTGCAGGGTTGTCCCTGCGGGCTCACCTGTGGGGACAGGGACAGGCATGGCGTCACACTCCCCTTCGTGCCCCCCCCTCTGCTGGCAAAATGTTGGGACCACCCCATGGGAACTGACTGAGGGTGCTGGGAAGCTCCCAGGGAAGGATTTGGCCCCAGCCGAGCCCCTGTGAAGCCAGGCTGGGGTGCCAAAACCCTGGTTCCCCATGGGACGAGGGGGGCACGGCACTGGGACCAGGCACCCAGGGTCACCCCTGGCTCGGCAGCTGGGAGAGGGCAGCACCAGGCTGGAACGGGGAGGAGAAGCACCGCTGGCAGCGATGCAGGCAGCGCGGGGCCTGTAGACGGCGAGGGAGGACACGCTGCCATCAGAAACTTGTTTTCTTCTCCGACACCAAATATTATGAAGTGTTTCTGCATTAGGAAAGCGGTTCTGGCTGAGTTTTTCTGCCGTTGCGATTCACAGAGCCGCTAATGAGCTGCCGCGGGGTGTGGGGAGGGGGGGGCGCGCTCTGATGTCTCCATCCAGCCCATCCTCCTCACGCAGCCCCGGCTGCTGTGCCCAGCCGCCGATGGAGACCCACCACCAGCCATCCCACCAACCTTCCCCAAGCCCCACTGGCCCCACGGATGGAGAGCCAGGCAGCCCCACATGGAAGCAGGAGGATGGATGGCGTCGAGCCGGGCTGAGCCCCACGCCGGCTGCGGTGCACACCCGCGGAGGTTTGTCTTCCTTACTGTCCCTCAAAGGCTCTGCCTTGGGTATGACTGTAAATGAGGAAATTACTTATTCTCCAGTGTAGCTCGGCTAATTAACAGGCATCATTAACTCTCCTGCTATCACAGTTGGGCAGGGTGCTGCGGGCAGCCCGGCTCCGAGACCGGCTGCGGGGGAAGGTGACCGCGGGATGGTCCCCGTGTGACACGGGGTCCGTGGGACACGCAGGGGTCGGAAACCGGGGATGCTGGCAGGGCTGAGGATGCAGGGGATGGAGGGGCCTCGTGCCCGAGGAGCGCCAGGAGCAGAGCAGGGCTGGGGGGCGGCGGGCAGCAGACGGGGCCGCGGCAGCGCCCGGGGAACGTGTCTGCCCTCATCAGCCTCCACCGCCGCCTTCTTCCTTCCCGGCTTCAAGGCTGGATGGCTCGGTCCTGCACCTCTTCCCCCCCGCCCCCCCGCCCTCACAATCGCGCTCCTGCTCTAACGAGGCTCCCTAATTACTGCATCTTAACCGAAGGATGCTGCAGCCGCTTGCAAAGAGAAATGCCTCTCCCCTCCCGGGAGAGCTGCTACGAGGAGGGGGCACAGCGGTGTGGGAGGGGGCTGCCTCCCCTGCCCCAGCATCCAGCTGGATGGACGGATGGATGGATGGACGGACGGACGGACGGACGGACGGACAGACAGACAGACAGACAGACAGACGGGCTCCCAGCCCCAGCTTTGCCTCCACCAGCTGAGCTATCGTCTCCTGTTCAGGGAGGAAAGCTCTCAGCTGATCCAAATATTGCTGCTGCAGCAGGAAGAAGAAGTCAAAACAGCTGAGCAGCCCGTCACCACCAGCCCGGCGGGCTTTTGTGCTCTGCTGGTGGAGGAATTACACAAAGCTGGGCCCTGTCACCACACTGGCAAGGCACTGCCACCGCTCTCCTGCAGCCACGGGGTGCGGGACGGGACAGAGGATGGGGACACACCATGGCAGAGGATGGGGACGTGTGGCAGAGGATGGTGACACGCCGTGGTGAAGGATGCTACATCCCAGCCAGCACCAGCTGGTTGTGGGGTGTGGGACGGGACAGAGAATGGGGACACACCATGGCAAAAGATGGAGACGTGTGGCAGAGGATGGGGACACACCGTGGTGAAGGATGGGGACACGCCGTGGTGAAGGATGGGGACACGCCATGGTGAAGGATGAGGACACACCGTGGTGAAGGATGAGGACACACCGTGGTGAAGGATGGGGACACGCCATGGTGAAGGATGGGGACACGCTGCAGTGAAGGATGCTACATCCCAGCCAGCACCAGCTCACCAAAGCCACGCAGGTGCCTGCACCCTGTCCAGGGACCACCAGTCCCCCCACGGGCAGCCTGGAGATGGGGAAGGGGTCGGGAGCAATCCCGTGGGTCTCAGCACAAGCCAAAGGTCCACATCCCCATGTCCCATGGGGGATGGCCATATGTAGAGGGCAGGAAAAGCCACCCAGCCCACTCCTCATCCCCATCCAGGGTGGGCAGCGCAGGCGGGGGGCTCGGTGTGGGGCAGGGGGGGCTCGGTGTGGGGCAGGGGGAGCTGGTTGGAGTGTGGCTCATGGGCAGACAGAGCAGCCGAGAGCTGGAGCTGCTTCGAACTCACGACAGCTCACGCCGCGCGGCCCTCGGGAAGGAGGGGACGTGCGACACCGAACCGCAGCCTCAAAACGGGGGGAAATACCCAGCCCGGCTGAATTTTGTGCCATTTAACACCAGGGTAATTACCACCAGTGGGAACCTACCGCCCACACAATTATGTGCTAGGATAAACTGGAAGAGCGTAATTACCATTACAAATAACTCACTTCTTGCCTTTATTGCCTCCAAAGCCTGGAGAAACTCCCACCAGCAATTCCCCCCTCTGCCACCTTCCCCTCTGATGCCTGTTCCTGCCACATCTCTCCCTCCCATGAGGGTCAGCAGAGGGAGGAGAGGGGCCCACAGCCCCTCCCCTCTCCCCGTGCCAAAATTTGGCCCCTTTGCTGCATTTCCCATCGGGGCACTTGGCAGAGGTGGTTCTGCTTCCCAGCAAACCGCCCTGGCGCGGGGCAAAGCTGGGCTTTCCAAGATTTCCAGGTCAAACCCCAAGAGCTGGGGTTGATGACTCCATGCCCAGGGTGTCCCGGCCCCCCACCCTTCCCAAGCAGCCCCCATGGTGGGCAGTGGGTGCTGGGCAAAAAGTGGATGGCACTTACCGCCCGGCGCTCAGGGGGATGCTGTCCTCATGGCCCCGGCCGGCGGCGGCTCCTCCACGCTGGGTCTCCTGGGGGCAGCAGGCTCTGGGGGAGCAACATGAGGGGGATGAAGGGCAGGGAGGAAGAATGAGGGTGTTCCTCCCCCGAAACAGCCTGACCCCACTCCCTGTGTATTTTTTTAGCAGCTCAGCCTTCCCTCCTCCCCTGAGGCCACCCCGTGGGCAGCGCTGCCTGCACCGGTAGCGATGGGGACGGCTCTGCACGGCCGCCGACACGTGTTTTGCCCAGCTTAGCCCCAAAACCATCCCCGGCCCCATCCTCTTATGCAATTCCCTGCCAGCGGGTGCCGGAGCCGGCCCAGCGGCCACCTTGCCATTGACTTTGATTTGCTCTGGATCCGGCCATATGCTCCACAAAGCCTCCTCCCGCCACCCCAGCTCTCCAGGGTGAGCAAAGGGATTTTTTTTTCCCAGCCCCCAGCCCGGCCGAGGCACGAGCTCGGCCCGTTCTGCTTTGCAAATTAGCACGAGGTTTTGCCAGCGCGGGTCCTGCTGGGGATCTTTATGGCTGGGGATGAAAGCAGGAGAGAACAAACACGCAGCGTGAGCGCCCGGCACCGCGCGCGAGCTGGAGCCTGGGAAAGCAAAAAAAAAAAGAAAAAAAATAAAATAAAGTGGTCTTCCCACTTAGGAGCTGAGCAAATTTGATCTGCGGTCGTCGGAAGAAAATAAATATGGAATACCGCCAGGTCGTTTCCACCGCGCTTTTAATCTATTTACTTTTTCCCAACTCGTTGTAAGCGAGAAGGATTGTGGAAAGCAAACATTTTATTTTATTACTAATTGCTCTGTTATTTTATTAGGCTGTATTAGTAAAATTTACTCAGCCTGGAAAAAAAAAAAAATAAATAAAAGAGGGGCTTAGTAAGAGATCGCCTAATTTAGTACATAATTCTGCGCCGAGTCATTATTTTCTTAAAAGTTGAATTAGCTGAAAGCAGCTCACCGATGGTTCATTAGCTGTGTCAGGCGGGGAAGAGTGTTGTCAGGGAGAGGTTTGTCACCAGGGGAGGTAAGAGCTGGGAAGGGAAAAGGGAAAGAGAAAGGGGAAGGGGAAAAGGGGAAAGGAAAAAGGGAAAGTGGAAAAGGGAAAGGAGAAAAGGGGGAAGGGGAAGAGGGGTGATCAGGATGCAAAGATGGCAGCAAACGTGCTCAATGCAATCAGGAAACCCAATCTGTTAATGAGAGAAAACCAGGGTAGCGCTGCCTGGGGAAGGTTGCGAGGGGCAGGAACCAACCGGCCGCTGGTGTAAATAAGGGATGAGGTAGAGATTTTCTAAAAAGTCATGAAGGACAAATACCAGCTGAAGAATTGCAAATGTGGGCGGCGCAAGAAGCGTTTACCGAGGTCCCTACGAGGGGCCGGCAGCACCGTGCTGCCCAGCATGGCCAGTGGGCACCCTGATGCCAGGGGGGCATCTCCCCTGGCTCAGCCCTGTCCCAGCACATCCCTCCTCACCCAGCACGGGCACTTCATGGGCACCACGGTGCCCCGGGGCTCAAGCCCAGTGCTGCCGCCCCGCTCCGTGCACGGGGGAGGCTGAGGACAGGCCGGACGTCGGGAGGGGCAGGTTATTAGGCACATGATTAATTTAGGCACATGATTAATTTTGGCACCGGCACCGGCTGCCTGACAGCTCCTTCTCCAGGGCTGGGGAGAGCGAGCGCGAGAGGTGCTGCCTCTGCTGATGCAGCGGTTGGTGGGATGAAAAATCCTGCAATGCAGCACTGCTTCTTAATGAGCCATTTGTCTTTGAGTCTTCTTGACTCATTACCGTGCCGGGAGAGGGATGGGAGTTGCCCCAAGTCCCCATCTGAGCAATTACTCCTGGAGCAGAGCGAGGAAATACGGCCACGACGCGCCCCAGCTGCCAGGGATCCCGGCACGGCCGCCGGCACCGGGACTCCCCGCCGCAACACAGGTGACTCCGGCCACCATCACCTCGGGGGGAGCGGGACCCCCTGCCCTGCACAGAATGCACAGCCCAGCACCGCCTGCCCGGACACCCTTGTTCCCCTGGGGCAAGAGCCATGGTCCTGGGCCAGGGCGTGCAGGGGAGCCAGAGCATCCCGGAGCTGGAGGGAGCCAGAGCATCCCGGAGCTGGAAGGAACCAGAGCATCCTGGAGCTGGAGGGAGCCAGAGCATCCTGGAGCTGGAAGGAGCCAGAGCATCCCGGCGCTGGAAGGAACCAGAGCATCCTGGAGCTGGAAGGAGCCAGAGCATCCCGGAGCCGCCGGGACAAAGCCAGGGAGAAGAGGGCCTGGTGCTCCATCCCTGCAAAGCCCAAACCTGGATCTTGATGGAGGAGCCACTTCTTCTAAAGCCCTCTACAAGTGGGGAGTAGCCAGGGCTGGCAGCCAGAGCCCACAAAGAAGTTGGCCAAGAAGGAAAGAGGTGGCCCAGAGGAGAGGAGAGGCCATGCCATCCCTGGGTGGGCATGGGCAGGGGCAGGACTGGCCGGGATGACCTTCCCCAAGGCACCTCTGCTCATCCTGCCCACGGGAGCTGGGACATGGCACGAGAGGAGCCGGCTGCCAGAGGTGGGATCCCACAGCCTGACCATCAGGAATGCACCCAACTGAGTCAGGAGACCACCCCGGAGGGTCCCCCCAGGCCAGGAAGGGCCCCGGGGACCCCAGCCCATGCCAGCTGGCACAGGGTTCATGGGCGCTGTGCCGCACGGATGAGCACCCATCACTGGTTATGCCCATGGACAGCTTCCCTCCCACGGACCTGCTCAACATCTGCCTGTGCTGCCCGGGGCTGGCAGCAGCCCCCAAGCTCCCCGGTGCCCCTCCAGCGCTTGGTGGAACGGGGGGACGTGCAGGTGACCCCGAGGAGCTCAGCAGGACGGAGAGCTGACACCACACCACTGCAACCAATGTTCACCTGCAGCAACGGGAAGGGATGAGCAGGGGCATCCCCCCCTGCCACGGTCATCCTGCCTATGTCCCCACCGGGCACCCCGCTCCAGTGCCCAGCAGAGCCCCAGGTGGGTGCTGGGCTCTGGGCATCCTCAGGAGTCAGACCTGCCTCTGCCAGAGGACTCTTTCCAGGATTCTGGGGACCATGGCAGCCCCCCAGGTGCTGCCAGACGTGCCAGGGCCCCCAGTTGGCAGCGGTGCTGGGTGAACCCCATTTTCATTTCGCCCTCCCCACCCGCACACATCCCGCTCCGCGGCAGGACAGTCCCTGCTGCCCGGCCTTAAAAAGCCACTTATCTCCCGGGCCACGCGGTGTAATGACTTAAGCCGGGGATCGCTCCAAAGCTGCTTTGGTGAGCTCGGGGTGGCACAGCATCAGCGCTGAGCCTGGCAGCGGTGAGGAGCTCTGGCCACCCCCTGCCCATCCCCACTGAGCCCCTCCATCCCTGGCTCTGCTCCCACCGGGCACTCGGCCCTGCCAGAGCTCTCATCCCACAGAATCACAGAATCCCAGAATCTTCTGGGTTGGAAGGGACCTTAAAGATCATCTTGTCCAACCGTCAACCTGACTGACAAAAATAGACACCCACACAACAAACAAGGAGCATCATCACTAAACCAGACCTCCCAGCACTACATCAACCCGGCTTTTGAACACCTCCAGGGATGGGGCCTCAACCACCTCCCTGGGCAGCCCATTCCAATGGCTGAGAACCCTTTCAGTGAAAAAATTTTTCCTAAATATCCAGCCTGAACCTCCCCTGGGGCAACTTGAGGCCATTTCCTCTTGTCCTGTCGCCTGTGACTTGAGAGAAGAGAAGAGAACCTGCATTTCCCCACCTGCATTTCCCCACATCCCGCTGTCCCTGGCACACAGCACCCTCCGCTCCCACCTCAAAGAACACCCACCCAAACCAGTTCCCTCCACAGCACCGTCCCGTCCCACAGCTCTTCCTGCAGCGGAGCCCCAGGAACCGGGGTTTCCAGCAAGCAGGACCTGGGAATGGCGAGGAAGAAGAGCTCACGGTCCCTGGGCTGGCAGGGATGCTCCGGGGCACCGTGCCCCATTCCCAGGCTGGATCCCACCCCCGGGGTCCCTCGGGGCCAGGGCTGGGATGGGCACAGCGAGCCTGGGGCACGGCACAGCCCGGCTCACCAGTGGAGAACCCAAACTGCCGCTTTAATGGATGGGCTTAATTTGCAAAGCTGATGAAAACCTAAATATTTAAATACATAATTCTGCACAATGCTCTTAGCGCGGGCCCGGAGCTAAGCAGCGAGGGGGGGGGGTACATGGCTGGGGAGCTGGGAGCATGGCAGGGATGGGGAGCACTTTGGTGGGACCACGTTGGTCACCCGGGCACTGGTATCCCCACCACGCACAGCGTGGGGACGGTGCACGTCCTCACCCCCCTGGCAGGCATCGTGGGCAGGGAGGGTGCCATGGGGTGCTCTGCCACATGCCCCGGGGTCCCGCTCTGCCACCAGCCCCCAGAGCATCCCACGGGGAGATGTGGGGAAAGGGGAGCGTGGTCCGAGCCGGGGAGCTGAAAAGGGTGGTGGGACAGGCCCCCGCAGAGATTACACCACCGATATTCCTGCTACAAGAGCTTAGAGATAAAAGAGATTTTGCAGGATTTACCAGCAATACAAATTGAATATTTAATTTTAGCTGCAGGGGAGGAGCGGGGCTTGGCCCCGGGGCACGTGGAGGTGTGCGGGCGGTGGGGCCAGGGGCTGCCTCCTGGGGAGGCGTTTCCAGCTCTCAGGGGGGGGGAAACTGATGCCAGGGCTGTCCCCGGAGGGCAGGGGGGGGCCAGGCAGAACCATTGCTGGTGGGACTGGGCACTCTCTGCCCACCCTGCCCCTAATCCCACCAGCCACTTGCTGGCTGCCAACTGCATGGCACAGGCTCTGCCACCACGTGGGAGCTCCTGAGGGACCGTCCCCGGATGAGCCACGTGCACGGTCCCAGTGCCAGGGATGCTCCGGGGGGGGCTCAGGACGGGGTCTGGCCCCCACATGCTACCCATGGGCCAGCCCAGAGCCACCACTTGGCTGCTGCCTGCTTCACCATGCTCCCCCCTGCCCCGACGAGGATGTCCCCATCAAGGCTGTCCCTGGACGAGGCTGTGTGCCAGCCAGAGCACGGGCTGTGCCAGGGAACAGGGCTGGGGGCAGCGGGAAGGGATGACAGAGCTGAGCATCCTCCGGGGTGGGGTGGAGAAACCCCAAAGGGGACCTGGCCACCCCCTGCAAGGTGCCAGGCAGAAGGAGCCTCCCCCCCGTGCCCCACGGGGCTGCCAGCTGGCCCTGAGCCCCGACACGGGGGTCCCCATGGTGCCACCGAGCCAGGTGCCCATCCTCCCTCGCCGCAGCATGGCCTGGCGCGGGTGCTGCTGTGGGGCGGGCTGGGGGAGGACGGCGGAAGATGAATGAGGGAGTCGGGAGGCTAATGGCATTGTCTGGAAAGTAGGTCGTGTGCTGAGCAAAAAGATATTTATATCAAAGCTCGTTCCCCTGCAGAAAGCTCCCGAGCTGGGCGCAGGCAGCACCACGAGCCCACAGCCACGGCACCCCCATGTCCCCACAGGACCCCCTGCCCAGACCCACAGCCAGCTCTGCCACCCTGGGTACCCGCATCCCACCACCTGCTCATGGGGTGGCCGTGCCAGTGGTGAAGGTTTCCCGATGGAGCAGGAGCCACGGCAGCTCTTTCCCTCTTGCTGACCTGGCTGCAGGCGCTGGGTGACGAATGGCACCGGGTTATTTTTATTTTAATGTAACCTTTGCCAAGGTGTAATATTCCTGCAGATGCTCCCCCGATGGGCACAGCGGGTCCTGCCCAGCCCTGTGCTGGCTGCAGCACCACAGCCCTGCACCCTGCCCTGCTCCTCACACCCTGCATCACTCCTGTCCTGAGTTTCAGCCAGGCCTCAGCCTCACTGTAAACCT